ATTTCCAGTTTAAAGAATATCTCATCCGAGGTAACTTGGTCCACCTTAGGCCAAAAATCTACGGATAGTTAAGATTCGCGATGAAAAATAATTACAAGACCTTCTGACGCAAATGCTCGAATGGGTTATTACGCCTTGATGGTATCATTTTTCGACCTGACTGGACAACAATTTCGGCCTCGCCACATAGTCTCATCTGCCCCTCGAAACAGGGTTCGCATTCTGCACCGCGCCAACATACCATAGACCCTTGAATGCAAGTGAGCTAATCGGAAGATGCGAAGTCTGAGACACGCCGCCGTCGACCCCGTCCCCGTCCTTCCAAGTTCTCCGACGCGAGTGTAAACCCGACTTGGTTGCTGCGCAGCCGGAACCTGGACCCGCTGGGCGACGCGATCTCGGACGATTTGGTGTCACTAAGGCACATTCTACCACCCTTTTTGTGGACCACCATTTCGGCTCCTGGCCGCTTGCAAACCGTCTTTCCATTTGCTCTCTAAAAGACATTTATCTTGCCAGGCAGTTCAAGCCCGTGCTTCCAAACTGAACACTCCAGCATCTTCGCAATGAACACTTGCCATCAGCAGCGCTTTCTTCTCTACCATTCTCTTCATTCTCAAGTTGCCATAACCATTCTCAGAATTTGGTTTCACTCATTCCAATTATGGTCTCCTCTTCCTCCTGTCACTACCTCGATTGAGGCCAAGTGACCTCCTCTTCTGGCCGGTGCCCGACTCACACAACAACTTCTCAGTACGGCTCTGACTGCGAGACTGCCGTGCCAAGCAATCGACAATCTCCTTTCAGCTCGTCAACTTCGCATGAAACATGCGGACGCCCAACTTGATGGTCTCCGACCATTCACATCGTCCAGACGCCTCTTCATCGTAGCTCGCAACAACTCGACGAAGAAACCTGATACTTTAGAAATTCTCTTTTTATATTTTATCTGCTTCCTTTAAAGTATCACTGACAATTATATTAATTTAATTTAAATTAATGGAGCATTTGATACAATGATCAACGGTAGCATGATACTTTAGCTCTTTCAAGTTGATTTTGGTAAATTTGATCTGAGAACCGTTTGATAGTTACATGTTTACTGAGCTGCTTTCTCGCCAAAATCTCTAAAGTTTACAATCATTTTTACTCCATTTTTGCCGAGATTGCAAATAGCCCTTTATTAGGTTTGACCTTTTGTCTTTAGATTAAAGGTCTTGCTTTCCAACCAAGCTTATGCCTATTGACTTCATCATCAACCAATAGAAATGCTTGCTCCCGGTTGGAACTACAGATTTGATAAATTCCACCCCCTTTTATTGTATCATTCATCAAAACAGCCAACTTAAGAT